GTTTTGTCTTTAACACAAACACAGAAGATTTGAGTGTTTTTAAACGGTCCGGTCTCCGTGAAGCTTCATGTTTCTGACGCACTGAGCTGAACAGGAAGACGGACTCTGCTTTCACAGACAGAGAAAAACAAAAGAAGGTAAAATTATAAGTGAACACCAGCAAAAAGGTCAGAGCCGGCTGCATTAATTGAAAGTAAAGTCTGGGCTGCGTCCCTCACCCCCAACTCTTTGCGCTACAACTTCCTGTGACATTAAAGCGCGAACAAAGACGGGCCGGCTGGGCGTGTTGACATTCAGAGAAATACCAGCAGAGTGAAGGAGGAAGTGATGAAGGCTCGAGGTCTGAGACCCTCCGCCTCTTTGTTCTCTGAGCACCTCTGCCAGGATCTGAAGGGCTTTAAAGGCACACACTTGGACAGGAACCTTTCTTCACCTTTCCACAGGGACACCATCACTCTACCCCAGCCAATCAGAGGTCGACTTTGAGAGGCTCTGCTAAACCGTGCTGATGCTTGTAACGACACACCTGACCTCCTCAGAAATCTGATCCTGAAAAAGAACGTATTCATATTGTGCTGCTCTGCACATTAATTAGGTCATCCATGATTATTGATCGTGCAGGTGCACGTGTCCTGAGCTTTGTGTCAATGAGGCCGTCCTCTGACAGGAAGTCCTCACAGGAAATGGGCCGATTCAGAGAAAAGGAGGTGAAGGTGGCCAATTAAACTCAGAGGCCGGTGAAGTCTGTGGCGAACGCCGACAGGAACAAAGAGATGAAGCTGCTGGCCTGCTTTTGTTCAGACTTCAGAGTTGCGCTCGCCGCTGCATCGCCAAAGTCCTACAGCTGACTCGAAACAGCCGGAGTCAGCTCAGACCTCGGGTTTGTTTCGGCGATCACACCGGAAACACTCAGCAAGTCTTTCTTCTGCCTGTGACTCTCAGCGATGACCTCGTCTTACAGGCGGCGAGAACAAAGCCTCCAGGACGCCCTCGTCGAATCGGAGGAAGAGCGTCTGAAGTAATGAGCACCTTTCTGCAGGAACGAGGCGTGCCAAGAAATCACAGACAGTGATGGACGCTTTCAGAGCAGCACTGAACCCGATGAAGGGCGGGTCACGCCCATTACCCCGACACGCCGCTGCCGAGCCGCTCATGGGCGTGAACTCGCTGTCAGGAAATACCTGAAAGAGCTTCAGATGCTGGTTTTTCTCAGAGCTGCTGGTTTCACGAAACACGAAGCAGCTGTTAGTGTGAATATTGAGCGGCCAGGTTTAAGGTTTATTCCTGCAGGTGGGGGTTTAGAGGATGGGTGGGGGTTTAGAGGATGGGTGGGGGTTTAGAGGATGGGTGGGTGTTGGGTTCATGCTGGCACAGAGAAGTGCAGGAACATTAAACACTGTTAAAAGCACCCCCTCTCCAACAGTTCTGCACCGCTGTTCTGTGTAGTTCTGAGGACGGAGCGTCGGTCTGACTGAACTGAGGAGAAAAATACGACTTTCAGCGTGTCGGGGGTGGAGCCCCGCCGGGCGCCGCATTGTTTGAGCATCTTCAGGCCTTCCAGCGTCTCAGAGAGCCGAAGCACTGTGTACAGATAGCAATTTTCCCTCGCAGCGTCCTCTCCGGTCGTCAAGGCAACTGAATACTTTCACCCTGAATCAAACCGACCCCCTCCTCCTCCTCCTCCTGCATCCAGCATCCTTCATGCATGGAAAGACTCAGCAAACACTGTTTATTTCCCCCAGAGGGGAGCAGGCAGGGACTGCTGATGTTTAAACAGGTTTATTAGCAACACCGGTGATTACACAGCAACTCAGAAGCACCTCAGATTTCTTTTATGCTCACGTCTAAGCGCATCTGACGCGACGTGACACGTGACCGAGTGTTTAAAAGTTTTTACAACATCACGAATATAAGAAAGCACCAAAACCTGCAGTTCCTCTGGTGTCCTGCAGAGGCGCTATGCGCTATGCAGCAATAAAGAAATGACTGACGCTGTGGGTCAAACGTTTATGCGTGCTTGACGTATTACCTTCTTTGTTGTGATTACTCAAAAAAGTAATCTATTACACAGAATACACAGAACTTTAAAGTAATGCAGTATGTTACTTCATTACTCCTGAGAAAAGGTCATTTGCTGTACTCGTGAAGTTGCTTTGATGTTACTCTGTAATATAGCTCGAACACGCTGTCTCATAATCACCATTTAATATAAACCTGAGGCTCCACGCCAACACGACTCCCTGACGAGTAGGGATGGGTATCGAAACCCGGTTCTTGTTGAGAACCGGTTCCTACTGTTTCATTTCCTTGGTATTGTTTGCCATTTTTGCAAGCGATTCCCTTATCGATTCCAGTCGCCCCGAATGACGTCACCACGTTGCGGAGCGTCATTTACCTGGCAGGAAACACGGCGCCTAAGCGGCTCAAACGCTCAAAAGTTTGGTTATACTTTACGAGAACAGATGACAACAGGACAACTTGCAATACTTGCAAAGTAGAGATTTCATTTAAGGGAGGAAACACTACGAATATGCAAAAGCATTTGCTCACAAACACGCGATGACCTTAAATGAATGTCGTGTTTTTAATTCGCTCCGGACTCGTGAATCTCAGCCCAGCAGCAGAGGTAACGTTTGCACGTCCTCTCTCGTTAATGCGGCAGGTAAATAGTCAACTAACAGCATATTATGTTAGTGCGATCTGCCTTATTACAAACCTGCCATTACTGTGCATTTAGTGACCATGATGAGACAGAGTCTGGCTCAGATGCTGGCAGTTCTCGCTGCAGTCTGCCGGTAGCGTCTCCTTTCAGGCAGGATAGACGAATGTCACCGAGCAGTGACTCAGTTTGTGGTCAAAGGCTTACAGCCGTTTGCCACAGCAGATGATTTTCAGTGAATGTGTTTAATTGTAGGCAGGGACATTACTGGATATTCTTGTGTAGTTGCTACAGAATAATTTATGTTATACTTTGTTATTGCTACAGGAGAATATTTATTTTATTATTTTACATTTACAATTTTTTTCCTGGGGACCCTGTGACACCCCATTGAAGAGCCGTAGGCTGGATCTCTTAAGATCTCACTGCTGGGTTTGTAAGGCCATGTTACTCCTAAATTTCTATCTTGTTCAAAGAGAAGATATAAAACAAAGTTCTAAGCTAATCGACCTTAGTGTCCTCCTTTTTAAAAAGAATCGATAAAGAATCGAATCGTTAAACAGAATCGAAAATGGAATCGGAATCGTGAAAATCTTATCGATACCCATCCCTACTGATGAGGACACACGTCTCTCAGATCTATGTCTTAGTAACTCAAAGCAAACATGAAAACCAGCACAGAAACTCGATCGTCACGGTGATTCTGCTTTAAAAATTCTGCCTCATCATCTGCTTGTTCCTGTTTTTTAGTTCAGGCTCCGGCCGCGGGGGTCGCCATTCGCTCTGCTCACTCTGGGTTCTTGGCTAGCTTAGCGTTAGCGTGCTGTATGTGCAGGTTGCAAAGAAGCGAAGTGTTAGCAGCACAATGCTCGTGTTTCTGTCCTAGATGCAGCTTGAACTTTACCAAAAATGTGCTTATATGCTCCAGACTGCGTCGCCATTTCCTCTGACACGTGAACTGAAATCAGCTGATTAGCTGATAAGCAGGATCAATAGGCAGACTAACGATTCCCATCCCTGGGCGTGGCCTGTGGCTTCACCAGAACTGGCCCTCTGGTTTGCGGTTGTGCTGTTGGAGCCTCGCGAAGCATTTTAATGACATCATCTGACCAATAATGCCGACCTGGAGGCTTCAAAGCGTGTAGAAACGTTTGAAACGACCTCTGGTGGGTGTGGTAAGTAATGCACCGGTGTTGTCGTCCTGAGTGACCTGGCTAACCTGGCTGCTCCTAACCATGAGAATGGAGCCTCCTGCTTAAGGCTGGGCGATACGTAACATGTTTCCAACCGACATTCGTCAGTCCAACGATCGACGATGGGCACCGACTTTTTGAATTCATACATTTTGTTTGGAGGGAATATTTTAGCTCCTTTTCTTGTTTCAGTATTAATACAACTACTTTTTGGATTATTCATTTATTTATTTATTGCACCAAATCACACAAAAGACTTAACTTTACATTAGAGACTTTTTTTAATGTTGGCTGGAAGATTTTTAGCTTATTTGTTGTTAGGTGGAGTGTGTAACACAGATCAACACGGTTACAGTGGAAACAGAAGCCAGCTCCTCTTCGTTTCCCTCCCTCCATTGTGGTTTGCTATTTAAATAAAATGTCTGTTTCCTCCTCACATCCTCTGCACCGTGTTAGTCCTTTCATATATTCTCTTTGGGAAATCTTCTGTGGATGACTTCCTGGAGTGTTTGAGTCCTCTTACATCTGCACCACCATCACAGTCAGACATGGTGGTGGTGTGATGGTCTGCAGCTGCTTGACCCAAAAATCCCGAAGTTACAGAGGCTCAGGGGCACTGGGGTTATGCAGCAGGACAATAATCAGAAACACAGCAGCAAGCCCACCTCTGATTGGCTCAGAAGACCAAAACAAAGGCTGTGAAGTGGCCGAGAAACCTTAACCTGTTCAGGCTGGACAGCTGACAGGTGGATGGTTTCCCTCGATGAATGACATCATCGTTTAAAAAAACTCTGGTTTTCTCTGAGTTTGATGATCTGAAACATGTCAGTGAGACAAATATGCAGAACAGCAGGAGATCAGGGAGGAGGCGGGTACTTTCTCACAGTTGCACCTGCTTCTGTTTCACCTGAGATCTGTGATGTCGCTGTGGTAAGCGATGAATAAAGTGGAATAAAAAGAGTGAGCGGGGAGAGTGGACGAGTGCTGCAGTGATGAGACGCTGCTGCGTCTGCAGAGGGGAACGCATTAATGCGATTTCCTCTGCAGAAACGTGGCGCTGAAGTGGAATAGAGGTGCTTTAATATGTGTCACTGCTCTGCATGGTCCTGCATAGAAATTGGTCATTTTCTCCTCTGTGTCCTCCGCAGAGCCCGGGAACCTCGGGGAGGTACGACACCAGGAAAAAGTGAGTGCTCTCTGAAATATTCCCAACATCCCGCGTTTGTTTCCTCTTCGCTGCTCGCCTGAATCATTTCCTGTGTAATAAGTCCTAATTTAATAAAACAGGAGGTGCGACCTCCTGAATTCATCCGAGGGATCGAGCTGAGAAACCCGATTATGTCACCGTGCTTATTGCTTTCCACTTTCACTCTCAAAGTTAATAGAAGAGATATTTTAGAGCAAACAGTGTTGCTGTTCCTTGAATTGGGAGCGAGCTCGCAGGTTTGGAGTAACTTTGGAACAACAGCAAATATTCCTCCAGGCTTCTGTCGGTTTAACTCGTCGCCTCAGAGTTTAACTCTGAAGTTAAAGATGTGATAAAACAGAGCCAGAGGGTGCAGGGCGTCGCCATAGCTGCACTCCCTTCATCATCATTGTAGACACAGAAGCTTCCGGGTTGTGGTTTCTGGATCTTCTCTCCAGAGATCTTCTTCATGCATATGATGCTGGCCATTCACACCTCCACCCGAGACCACCAGCTGTGGGTAGTGAGTGCAAAGTCAAGACTGCAGAGGTGGCTTCAAAGGAAGCTCTTCTTCACCTCTGCAGTCAACAAAGAGTTCACCAGTGTGAGCCGGGGGGGGGGGCATGATTGGTGCCCCCACCTGCTGACGGATGCCATGTCAGGAGATGACGTCGAAGGCAGAGGTCAGCCAGATTCAAACCTGGTGTGTGCTTTGTACGGTGGACTCCTGCTGCCACCTCCACAGGTGAGTCGAAACATTAAAAACACCTTTGTTAGGGCTTGTTTCAGCTCAGGTTTGGTGTTCTGCATGTGGTGGTGGAGGTGTGGGTGGTGGAGGTGTGCTTCCCAGTAGGATAATTCGTGCTGATTCATGCGACCTCTCTTTCTCTGCTTGGATGGATTTTTCATGGCCACAGAAGCGCGAGGTCATCAGGACCGAAAAAGCTCAAAGGACCTTCTCTCAAACCACAAATGCCGTTGTTACATCGTCAGATTTAGAACATCTCTGAACTCCAAACAAATACATGTGAAGCTTTCTGTCTGAACACCTTTCACAGCTTTCACTGATACAGGATCTGAGTGTCTTTCTTTCACCGGTGGGTCTCTAACTGAAAGGGACCGTGGACGTGTTGTGATGTGGGCTCGTCTTTCACCGAACCTCTGTGGAGGACACGCGCGATGCATCGTGACGAGAAGAAGAAAAGTCGCATTTCTCTACAGATTTTTGCAAAAGCTGAAACACTGGAATCCCAGCTGCCCACAAACACACCTGTGCAGGAGGAACTGGACCTGCTGACTCTTTTTTCAGGACCTCTCTGAAGCTGCATTTTGGTTTTCTTCTTTCACAGCTTTGTTCAAGCGTCAGATACTTCAGAAACTAACGTGGAGTTCACGAAGCCTTCGGCCTGCAGCGAGCCGCTCGAGCTTTGTGTTCACAGAGTGACAATCTG